CTGTAATTTGCTGGCAGACATCTGTGTTACTGACAGTCTTTCACAGCTGGGTCTCTGGGCTGGGGTTTTCAGGCCCATGGCTTGCAGAGGTTAAACTCGTACTGGAGAGAGGATAGTTCTGGTGGTTTGACAAGTCCTGGCAACAAAAGCATCAGTGGCCACGTAAGCGAAGTGCTGCCAGTGCTAAGAAGGTGTGTTAGGTAGCCTGAGGTAGAAGTACATGGAAGGAAAAAAGGCAGGCCTGATGATAACCGCTCCTTTAAAGGACTGCACAGAATTAGTATGCTCTGTCTCCGCCTGTTTTTGAAAAGTTAAGATACGGTCGGTCAGGTTTTTACTTGTGGGTAAATCCAGTGTGAACAGTTTTGAAGTTCTTTGCCCTGACTATATTGTAGACACCTTCCCAAAACCTAGTTTTCTGGCATACTGTGTCCTTCCCTGGCACAGTGCTCCTTCCAGGGCTCCCATCTCATCCTCCAAAGGCATCCAGAAGGCACTACCAATGGGCATCTGCTTTTGTAGTTTCAAAGTTAATTTTCTGCTCCTCCTTGGAACATAAACAGTGGCCTTTCTGCTCCTCATGGTGGAGTTCTTTAAAGGCTTGTTTCCAGATCACGGCCTTAGCTTTTGGACTTCATTTTAAGGTGGCGAAAGAGCCCTAGGTAATGAGTCCAATTTTTTGATGTTATTTGTTGGTGACTTCCTTTGCTGTCCAGGAGCACACAGAGTTGAGCTGCATCCTGTCAAAAATGGTCCAGCCCCTGCCACCCATCATGGGCTGAAGCCCCAGCTGGCAGCGAGCAGGGCAACTGGGTGCTGCCCCTGTGTTGGTGTCGGAGCCCCCGCCAGCTCCGTCTCTGTGTGTCTGGTGAGGGAGTGCTGTAACGTAGCACACTGTTAGCCACACAAGGGTCAGCCCGTGCTGGGGAATCGCCCGCCTGCATGATTTATTCCAAAGCTGGGAGGCTGGAGCCCTGGGGCGAGCACTAAGCAAAACCCATTTTATTCTAGAGTCAATATTGTCCACTGCCTGGAAAGCTGCCAGCCTGCTCTGCACTCGCCCTTTTCTTTCCAACAGGGAATGTCTTTCAGCCTCTAAGCATCTGATTAAAAAAGCAACTTCACTTTTCAAGCCGCTTTATTTTGTTTGGGATGGATGCCTTTTGCTTTCATTGTGCAGCCCGCCTTGCCGTCTGCGGTTCAGACTCCGGCTCACAAAACCCAGGCTCTCATTAATCACTTATTGGGGATCCAGAATACCCTGGTGAGAGCCAATGTACATGTTTTGCTTGGTAATGCATGAGCTGATTTGAAC